GAAATGGAACAGCCGGGACTAGAACCGGTGCCCATATGGGATGCCAGCACTTCAGGCCAGGGCGTTAACCCACTGCGCCACAGCCGGCCCCTCTTTTTTCTTTTTTTTCTGGGATATTTCACAAGACCTTTCTTCAAGTTCAGATGTTCTTCCTTTGTTTGATCTACTCTGATATTGAGGATTTCAACTGTGTGTTCAGCCCTTAAGGCATACGGATCTGGCTGAAAAGCCCATGAGAGTATTACAGGCATGGAAAGCCAAAACACTCTGGCAAAAAAAAAAAAAAAAAAAAAAAAAAAAAAAAAAAAAACAAACCTAAATGAAAGATCTCCACAAGTGAGATCTCAGTGAAAAGAACAGGTCATCAAAGAAGGAGGTACCTTTCTCTGAAGGGAGGAGAAAACTTCCACTTTGACTACGACCTTGTCTAAATATGATCAGAGTCGGTGAACTCAAAAGGCTTCCATAGCCTTGGCAACTCATGACAAGAGCCTAGGGTGATTACTGATGCCATAAACAGGAGTGTCAATTTGTTAAGTCAACAACAGGAGTCACTGTGCACTTACTCCTCATGTAGGATCTCTGTCCTTAATGTGCTGTACATTGTGATTTAATGCTATAACTAGTACTCAAACAGTATTTTTCACTGTGTGTTTCTATGTGGGTGCAAACTGTTGAAATCTTTACTTAATATATGCTAAACTGATCTTCAGTATATAAAGAGAATTGAAAATGAACCTTGATGTGAATGGAAGGGGAGAGGGGGCGGAAAAGGGGAGGGTTGCGGGTGGGAGGGAAGTTATGGGGGTGGAAGCCATTGTAATCCATAAGCTGTACTTTGGAAATTTATATTCATTAAATAAAAGTTTTAAAAAAAGAAATAAATAAAAAAAAACCTGTTTATTAAGAGGCAGAAAAAAAGATGGAGGGAGGGAGAGAGGAAGAGAGAGGGAGGGAGGGAGAAAGGGAGAGAGGGAAACAGGGAGAGAGAGAGCTCTCTCATCTGTTGGTTTACTCCCCAGATACCTGTAGCAAGGTCTACATTAGGAGAAAGTTGGAATAAGGAGCTGCAGCTGGGAGTTGAACCCAGGCATTCCTTGGGATGCAGGCATCCTAACTGGAATCTTTTTTTTTTTTTATTTTTTTGACAGGCAGAGTGGAGAGTGAGAGAGAGACAGAGAGAAAGGTCTTCCTTTTTTTTTTTTTTTGCCGTTTGTTCACCCTCCAATGGCTGCCGTGGCCGGTGCGCTGCGGCCGGCGCATCGCGCTGATCCGAAGCCAGGAGCCAGGTGCTTCTCCTGGTCTCCCATGCGGGTGCAGGGCCCAAGGACCTGGGCCATCCTCCACTGCACTCCCTGGCCACAGCAGAGAGCTGGCCTGGAAGAGGGGCAACTGGGATAGAATCCGGTGCCCCGACCGGGACTAGAACCCGGTGTGCCGGTGCTGCAAGGCGGAGGATTAGCCTATTGAGCCATTGCGCCAGCCCCTAACTGGAATCCTAAGCACTAGTCTAAATGTCTGCCCCCAAGTGCATTTTCTATCTGACTTATTGAGTTCTTCATTTTTTTTTTTCAAGATATCTGTGTGTGTGTTATTTTTTAAATTTTATTTAAGGTATGCAAGTTTCTTGTATTTCATGTATACAGGTTTAGAAACAATGATACTTTCCTCCTACCTCCCTCCTGCCCATGCTCCTACCCCTCCCCCTCCACAATCCTTCTCTGTTGAATTTCTCATTTGTATGGACATGCATTGTTTTCCCAATTTTGGTAAATTGTCTTGTATTCACTTGTGTCTCCTTGAGTTTCCATATAATCATTCTTTTGAGTTCTTTATCAATCTTCTGTTCTTTGAGTTCGTTGCTGGAGAGCTATTAAATTCCTTTGGATATGTGGTGTTGCCTTGTTTTTTCCACAGCTCTTGCATCCCTACACTGAGATTTGTGCATCGGGTGGATCAATGGTCTCTACCACTTGCACAACGTGGCTTTCTCAATAAGTGGCATTCTCCTGGATATGTCTTGAAGTTTTACTTTAGTAGGCTATGTTGGCTTTGGTTCTTGTTGGGGATGTTGGTATATGTAGCTCCTTATAGCTTCTTTGACTTTGCTTGATGGCTTTGGGTTCAGTGTGCATGCTAGTGAGATCAGTGAGCTCTCCTAACATAAGAAGCCATGTATGGGAGAGCATGCTCTAGGAACCAAGGTGGGCATGGTGCACACTGCCACTGTGTGGCCATTCCAGTAGTAAGGGTGATGCATGTGTGCTCTGGCTGATACAAGCATGGGACATGGGTGGGCTGACAGTGGTGTCAGGAGGCATAGAGCACAGAACACAAGCCCTAGGGCAGCAGTTACCTTGGGGAGCTGCTGCGTAGTCTGATTCCAGGCTGGCTGTGGCAGTGAGGAGAATGCAGCATAGATACAAGTCCTGGGGCGGCTGAGGTCACAGGTGGAGTGATTAGTGTGGAATGCATGTCCTCCGTTGATGGCAGGCTGGCTGTGTGGCTCTGCCCCTCGGTTTTGTCACTGCATAACAAAAGCCTGATCTCTGGGGGTTGTTGGAAACAGTGCAAGAAACTTCTCTGGAGCACTGCAGACCTCAGGTAACACCCCTAACTGGGCTCCAAGCTCGTGACATCTGTGGAACTCCCCCGTTGCTTGGGTTGCTGACTTCCGCAGGCAAGGGTCCCACCGGGACTCTCCTGTTCACCCTTTCCCCTGTCACGGGGATTCCCTTTGGCCATGGGGCCAGGGTCACAGTTGTCCAGTCTGCTTTGTCCCCTTCTCTATACTGCTCTCTCACCTCTCCATGTTTTGCAAGGTTCCCGTCCCTCCCTTGCTCGGTCCCAGTGCCAGTCACCTTGGGATGCAGCCATTTATTTGATTTTTTCTGGCTCTTTTCTGTGGAGGAGGAGTTAGCATTGGTCACCTCTAGTCTGCCATCCTATCAGCCACTCAGAGAATATCTGAATAAAGGAATACTCTCACATATCAAACTCTCTGTGCTATTAGTCTTCCATCCAACCCCTATTTTTTCCTTCCCTCACAGCCTCCACTGCATCGTCTGGAATCCCTGCACCTTGCTCACTCAGCATTAAATCAATCACACTGAACCAGCTCCTGTCTGTCACTCACAGCTGCCATTGCCTTCCCTTCTCCTGTCTTGTATTAGCACTGCCCTAATCCAGAACATTGCCATCTGTTCCCTGGACTCCAACGAAGACCTCTGGAAAGTTCCTCCAACATCCTCTTCTAGGGATCCTATTACAGTGTAAATCTCATATGCCATTCTTGCCAAATGTGGGATAAATTCCAACATTTTGCACATGGTTTCTTATCCTCCCTTCCAATCTCCCTCTGCACCCCAACTCAGCCGAGCTTCCTTCCTCTGCATGCAGTGGACATCACGTGGTTTCCCGAGTCGGCCCCAGCGTGCTTTGTTGATCCACACCTTTGCACCTACTGCTCCCTTTGCCCGGGATGCTCTTCCTCCCCATTGTGGCCTGGCTAACTTCCACATCCCCACCCTCCATGCCTGTGCACCTCGGCTTGGTTAGGACATCCTGTTACCGCTCCCACGGTGGGTCGTCAGTGAGCCTCCCATTTCTCTCGTTGGGACCTCCTCACACTTGCATTCTTCGTGTAATGTTTGTTTTCCCTGCTGCAGCATGAACCACACGAGAGCAGGGACTGTGTGGAACTTGCTCACTTCTTCACCATGAGCCTGGCCTGACTTAAGCGTGGTGCTCAACACATTTTCATCGGAAGGACTGGACGCCTCGGGCAGCTGCTGTTTCTCTTTGTTCTTCTATTTGACACCGATTTTGGGAAGCCCACTTGTGCTGTGTGGTTTCTAGAGATCAGACTGTGAGTCTCTCCTTCCTGAGCTGCTCTCCCTTCTTGGCCTCTGTGGACTTTCCCTGGCCATCAGAGTCCTTCCCCTGTTGGGAGGTGGCCATGCGGTTAGGTGGGAAGAAGCTTTGTTAGAAGATAGGACTTTTACATTGCCGGGGTTGGAGAGGGGAAATCTGTGCCAAATTCCCAGCACTGTGTTGGGATGGAATGGGGGAGCCATGTTCAGTTGCTCAGATGGCCCCTCCACAGTCGCTCCGGGGCTGGTGAGAGGACAGGTGACAAATGTTCCCAGTGCGGAAGGGAGTGAAGGTGGACAGACATGCACTGATGGCACTGATGGGCTGTTGCCCCCTCCAGAAGTCCTTGGAATGTTTCTTCCACATATTTCTATTTTTTCATATGATGAGGACACCTAAGTACACAACATTAGCCAGCTACCCTAACGCTGTGAGCCTCCAAAACACCAGGGGGTCTTGCATTTGATCATCTGACTGTGCCGTCTTCATTCAACAAATGTCTCTGGGGGTTCCTCTGCCCAAGCCCCAGATCACACGCCCAGGACGCTGTGGTGAAGGCACCTGAGCCTTCTCTCCTAAGGAACCCACATGCTGCCTGCAGGGAACAATCTATTGGTTTTCAGATGGCACCAACGTGCTAGATGCTGTGACAGAGGGTGTGCGCTGTGTCTGCAGAAGCCAGAGGCGGGAGGTAGAACTCCTAGTGAGCCTCTGGAAGTCTGCACATCATGGTGTCTTATAGAAGCAGCTGAATGGTCTCGAAGGCTTTGATCTGTCTTCAAATGCAGTCCCTGTTTAACATGTTTTGGGGTTTTTCTGCTCTGCTTCTCAGTTCCCTAGAAGGAAGGGATGTAAAGGGCAGCAGCGGGGAACCTGGAGATAGGCACAGTTGGTATCAAATCCAGGGCCCTCCCTTACCTGCCAGCTGGGTGACTAATCACTACCTCTCCCACCAGGAGAACCCACAAGTGCCATGGGCACATGGTGTGCTGGCTTTGACACATGCTGCTTCGTGCCGGCAGGCTCAGTCATGTTTTTGTCCAGGTGATAACAGCTTTTTGTGTGTGTGTGTGTGTGTTGGTGATGACAAGAAAGTTGTTTATATTAAGTTTCACATGGCACACAGGTTTTTTTTTAAAAAAATGTAATTTATTGGTATAAGAATAGTTTAAACAATATATAAATATACTTTAAACATTTCTTGAAAAGTGTAAGTTAGCAATTCATTTGAGGTAAGCCTACACATTCCAAGAAAAGATTTGGCTCTGTAACAGGGGATACTCAAATTGCCCATTGTGCACTATTCGTTCACAACTGTAACAGTTATAATATCACAAATGGCATTTCATAAGTTATAAATATCAATCGCATATAAATTAACCCAGCTTCCCACATTTAAATACTAATAAGTTAAAAAAATAATTAAAATAGTGTCCTAACGCTCATCTTCCTAGTTTCGTAAACAATGTTAAGTTATGTGTCCAATGGACAGGATGGTGTGTTCTGACCGTGGGAGGCAGAGCCCATGAAATTCCGCAAGCAAGGACACCCGCACTCCATCAGGTCCACGGCACGCAGGGTGAACTCCAGGAAGTTTGTGAGGCCGCGCAGGATGAAGTGGATCGTGGTCGTCTTCAGCCACTGGTTTTTCTGCTGCAGGTTCTCCATCAGGCTGACCGCAACGGCTGGCTTGAGGGTGGCTTCTTCATTCAAATTCTTGACCTGAGGAGAAAAGAGAAGGGAAGGGATTGTTGAGTATTGCACACATCCTCTCAGTGGAAGGGCGCTCTGGTGACGGGAAGGTGTTCCAACTGGGGACTAAAGAGTTTGACTGGGGCTCCCCGCCCTGCCTTATCCAGGCGGGGGGAGCTGCTTCTGTGGCAGTCCCGCCCTGATCAGGATGCTACTGAATTCTCAGCTCCTTTACTGTTGTCTCTCCCAGGAGACCACAAACATCCTGAAGGCACACCAGTATCTTAATTGCCTTCTGTTCTGTGATGCAAAACAGGGCCTGGCACATAGTTGGAATTCAGTAGAGAATGAAGAAGCCACAGTTAAATTTCAGTGGCCTCTCAGTCTAACCCTTCTCTCCACTTTCCCTGTCTGCATCCCCCGCAGCATCTGTGGGATCTGGTGGTGTAAGAGGGCTGGGAAACACTTTCCTATAGACCCCCACAGGGGAATGACTAACTTGGGAAAGGCCTTGCAACCCCAGGACTGCTGCAACAGCATCACAGGCGAGCTTGACAGAAATACGAACCTAAACCAATCCCCCCTACCTCACCGACCTGCTGAGTCAGACTCTGTGTGGTAACTAGGGCCCCAGGAGCTTCCAGTGTATTGAGTGTATGAGAACCCCTGGTTTAAGGCAAACTTCTAGAAATGGCACAAGCAAGCTCAGTGCCCAGGATTTCATTCCAGGGCCATTCTCATTGCACTTTGCTTGGCTCGCCTACACCCTGAGCCATCAACCCCTATCTGCTGTTTGAACACCAAGCAGGTGGTGGCCAAGATCCCGGCACCATCCCTCCTAGCCTTTAGACTTCAGCCATTTCTCAGCATTAAGCCCCTGATAAGACCTAGAGGAGAAGAGTTGAAAGAAGCGTAATGACAAGACAGGCGCTTGGCAGCACGGGAAATATTACAGTGATCTTTGCGACCTCCGTTCCTTGTTATCGTGGATCACTGGGAAGAACTGGAAGCACTTCCTTCTACCTCTACAGATGTATTTTTCTTATTTTTCTTTTAAGTTATTAGAAATTGGTATTCAATGCAGTTTTTTTTTTTTTTTTGACAGGCAGAGTGGACAGTGAGATAGAGAGAGACAGAGAGAAAGGTCTTCCTTTTGCTGTTGGTTCACCCTCCAATGGCTGCCGTGGCCGGCGCGCTGCGGCCGGCACATCGCGCTGATCCGAAGCCAGGAGCCAGGTACTTATCCTGGTCTCCCATGGGGTACAGGGCCCAGGTACTTGGGCCATCCTCCACTGCACTCCCTGGCCACAGCAGAGAGCTGGCCTGGAAGAGGGGCAACCGGGACAGAATCCGGCGCCCCGACCAGGACTAGAACCCGGGGTGCCGGTGCCGCAAGGTGGAGGATTAGCCTGTTGAGCCACGGCAGTTCTCAATGCAGTTCTTTGAATACAGTTTTAAATACAATTACTGATGGGTTTTGTTTTGCATGAGAGAGCCAAAAAAAGAAAAAGAAAAAAGCGAAACAACAACTGAACTCTCCTCAGCCCTCTCCTGGTTCCACCATGAGGTCCCTTTTGCAGTGGTGCTGCTGCCCCGAGCCCTTTTTCCCCACGCCTGGCGAGGGGCAAGGAGCACCCACCTTTGGCCTCAGGGTCTTGATCAGGTGTTGGATGTTCTTCAGCACCATGCTGACCCTGGTGTTTTCTTCGTCACTCCTGAACTTGGCCTGAAGGTGCTCGAGATACATCCGGAACTCCATCAGCCCCGAAGTGATTCTCAGCAGGCAGGTCTCCTGAGAGCAAAGAGCGCAGGAAGAGTGGTTAGCGCTGGGACACAGGAGCCATTGGAAAATGTAAAACTGCCACCACCCGGCATCACCTCCCTCTGCCCTTCTTGAGAACTTCGAATGCCTTTCACGTGTCCCATTTTGGGACATCAAACAGCACCAGCTGCCCCTGTCGAAAATATCAGGACAACCAGGTAATTAACAAATTTTACCTGGAGCCCAACAAATGCTAGACTGTTTCTCCCCTCCCTGCTCTCCCTGTACTCCGGCTCTCCTCCGTGTCAGGATAGACCTCCATTTATGTAGAATCAGAAGTCAGCACAGGGGCTGGGCATTTGGTACGGCAGCCAAGGTGCAGCTTGAGACACCAACATCTCAGGTGCCTGTTTGGAGATCTGGCTCCCCTGCTTCTGATCCAGCTTCCTGCTGATGTGCAGCCTGGGAGGTAGCAGGTGTGATGGCTTTGGGGAGTTTGGTCCCTGCCACCTACAGGACAGACCCAGATTGAGTTCTGGGCTTCTGGTTTTGGCCTGACTGAGTCCTGGCTGTTGTAGATGGAGGATCTCTCTCTCTGAAAAAAAGTATAGGCCATCTCACTGTCTGGAAGGACAGAGGTGTGGAGGGAGACCTCAGAGGGTGTGCAGGCCTGGATCCTGCCAGGGGCAGACAGAGAGGAAAGCAATTCCCAGGCTCACTTAGTCAAGATGAGCTGGCTAAACTTGCCAGGGTTTTTAACATTTGACAGTCAGGAAGATCCCAGCACACCGAGGCCCTCTCTGGCCATGCCTGTCCAGAGATAAAGTGTCCTTTTAAAAAGTCTTAAGTTGATTTCCTTATGAAACATTGCACCTGCCATGCTCTCTACATCCGCCCTCCTCCTTGTGGGCTGCCTGGTCTAGACAGCTATGGGGAGATTCCTGCCTAAGGAGCAGCCAGCAGCAAAGGTGACAAGTTCATACATTATTCACCGCCGGCGGGAAGCATCCGTCTTCTTCTATCAGCCTTGGAAGGTGCAGATTGACTTCCGCCAGTGCCTCCTTTCTGTTCATGCAGTTGACATCATGGTCACACATCTGGAAAAGGAAACCAGAACCGCTCATGCTGAAGCGTCCATAAAAGAAACACCACTAGAGGGCCAGGTCATGCTCCTGCACAGCCAGCAAAACCTCTCAGAAAAACGAAAGTCACAGCCCACTGGCACCCATGCCAGGCCAGAGACCTGTGGAGTCGGGCCAGGCTCACCCGTGGCTGCAGGAGTGCCAGTTTCCTCATCCCTAAGTGGGATACCACCTTCCTCCCCGGCCAGTGGGGAAGACTCAACAAGACTCACATAAGGTGCCTGGCACACAGTAGGTGCTTCATATGTGACAATGGTTGTGATGACAGTTTGGTGAGTCTAATTCAGCTGGAAGGACCTTTGGCATCATCTTGCCCACCCCCACCCATAATGTTACAGATGGAGTACGGAGGTGATAGGGAATCGCCCCATGATGCCAGAGTGGTCCAGGAGAGCCAGCACCAGACTCTGGGCTCCCAATCCCTTCTGCTGTTCTTTCTACCGGGTTGAGCCAAGACGCCTTGCACTTGGAGTTGGGAGAAGCTTCAGTCTGCTTGTGATTTGCCCTTTTGGTGTGCCCTAGGGTCTGCATCTGATTGGAATGACTTTGGGGAGTCCTAACCACTGAGCTCACACACCCACAGTTACGTAACTTCTCCAGCTCCCCGGGGAGAAGCTGAACATTCATCCCAGCTGCCACTCTGCTAATCTTCTCAAGGTCTGAGGCTTGAGATGCAGGATAACAGATCCTACTTTGCAGTTAGAGAAGCGAGACGTGAGAATCGGTGAGCCTCAGCGCAGGACAGCTGTGCGCATGGGCAGAGGAGCGGAGACCCCAGGCCCAGTCCGTCCTTTCCAGAAGAGAGGAACACCCTGCGGCCGCGGCAGAGAAGTCCCGCAGGCAGCTGGGGCTGTCCCCCGGACCCCCAAGGCATGGCCCTTCAAACCCTGTGGCCCAGCCTACCCACCTCTTTCCTCAGCTCCTTGATGGTCTCCAGGATGCTCCGGATGCTCTCGATGGTTCTGCCTGGCGGCGTGAGGGTTTTGTCGGGGCTGGCCTTGGTGTTGGAGTCCTCCCTCACGGGTGCTGAAGTGGGGAAAGCGGTAGCCACCACCAGGAGCAGCGCCAGCGAGCAGCCGAGGGGACCTGGGCGGAGGGCGCCTGTGCCAAGGAGGGAAGGGCGCGCCGTGAGCGACGGCGAGGGGCCGGCGGCCGACGCGGGCTGCTTGGCTGCCCGCCAGCCCTGCCTGGGCCGCCCGCCCTCCCTCACACGGACTCTCGCGCCCAGCGGCGGCGGCGGCGGCGGCGGCGGTGCGGCCGGGATTCCCTGCACTTACTTGTGAAGGAGTTCATAGTCGGGCTCCTGGAGGCCAGAGGGAGCTCTGTTTGTTCCCGGTGGGCTCGGAGGCAGAATGAGCCTCAGACATCCCCAGCCTCATATTTATGGGGGGTTGAGACTGTAATTTTGAGACTCGGGGAAAATCCCACATTTGATAAATCTTTGTTGGAGGTGGGGGTGGGGCCGGGGCGGGTGGAGTTGATAGGAAACTATTAAGATTGTGCAATGTGACGTCGCCATCATCTCAAAAATCACAAATTGGGGAAAAAGCGCTGGCTGAGCTCATCGCCAGGGCTAGCCGGACCTAGTGGCACTATGTGTCCTCAACTTTCCTTCTTCTTACTTCTGCTTTACTGACTGTGACTCAGCACTCGGCATGTCTTGAGAAAGCATAAAGCTAAAGTCACGTCCAAGTTTGACTAGGAGGCGAAAAGAGCTAAAGCTGACTGTGTTTTTTTTTTCTCCCCAAGTAGCTTCCATTGTAAGATAAGGAGCTAGGATTCAGTATTCAGGTTTATTGGCATTTGTAAAATCCCTAGGCTGTTGGGAGTGCCTCTCCTTAGCTCAGTCCACAGATAGCACTGAAGCCCTCCAAGCCCTGGACTTACAGCCAGGGGATACGGCCAGGCCAGCGGACATCTCAGCACTTCGCTCTCCTGGCTCCTGCCGTGAGCAGGTGTGGCAGAATTGCCTGCTCCTGCCTCACACCGTTACTTCCAGGAGTCCCTACTGGTGCGCATGGCACTGCGTGAGTGACTCACTGTTGTGCCACGTGGCCTCGGTCTCCTCCTCATCTGCTCCAGCCCACTGGGGGAGGTCCCGCTCTCGCCTTAGTGACTCCTTGGGGATCCTCCCCACAAGGACTTTGATCTCTGTGCATTGCCCTATGCTGCTCATGCTGTCTCCACTCAGTGTCCCCACCACTGTCAGCAGCCGTAGGACCCTGTGCCCCCGGGGCACCTGGAGGGCACTGGACAGGTCTCGGGTCAGCTGGAGCCTTCAAGTTACTGAGGCCCACAGATACATGAAGAATACTACTACTATTTTTTTTTAGAGAGATTTATTTATTTAAGAGAGTTACAGAGAGAGAGGGAGACACAGAGCTCTTCCTTCTGCTAGTTCACTCCCCAGATGGCTGCAACAGTCAACGCTAGACCAAGCTGAAGTCAGGAGCTTGGCTGTCCATCTGAGCCTCACGAGTGGGTGGCAGGGACCCAGGCATGTGGATCATCTCCCACTGCTCTCCCAGGTACATTAGCTGTAAGCTAGATGGGAAACAGAGCAGCTGGGACTCGAACAGCTGTTCTGAGAAGGGATACCAGTCATAGGTGACAGTTTAACCTGCTGTGGCACAGCTCTGGACACACTACTCACTTCATTGATGGGATGACAAAGGAAGGCCCTGTGCATAGAATCTTCTAGAGCTGGTATTCCTAGCTGCCTGTCTCTGCATGACTTGATTTGAATCTCAAGGTGGCTGCAAAGAAATTAGTAATACAGGCAACCACTCAAGGCCTGCATCAGGCTTCGCTTCCTGCCACCGAGGCTTCTTGTCCTGGCCAAGCTTGCACTGACCCCCTCTTGCCTTGCTTTCATGCAAATGGACTCTGCCCCACCAGGCTGAGGATGGCTCCAGGCTGGACCAGGGTCCCTTGCACATTGCTGAAAAAGTTATTTACAAAACACACCATTAACATCACAATTGGCTCTTTGCTTTGCAAGTGAAATTTCAAGATCGCAAAAGCAGTGACCTCTGCTAGGGCATTTACTTTCCTCTGGATGTGACATTTCAGGACACGCCTGTTGGGGAAGGCGAGTTCCTCCATTCTTTTGCCCTTCGATGGTACACAGAGGCAGTGGTCCTCTGGTGGTAGTGGGGGGCTTTTGATTTTTGAACAAAAATGGAGAAGGGTAGCTGCATGGTTTTGCTTTTAGTGCCTCTGGGAGTTAAGCAGCATTGACACCATGCCCAGGACTCTGGGTCCTGCACTGAATGAAGCTCCCACCCTCCCTGATCCCCCTGCCCCGCACTGCACTGTGAGGGGCCTCTGCTGTGTGCAACTGCTTGTTCTCAAGCATCTCTTTTTTGGAAAATGCAACTTGATGAATTTCAAATACCGAAACTTAGTGACTGAATAGGATGTATAGATTTACTTTTTCTTTCTTTTTTTTTTTCTCCCAAGATTTATTTATTTGAAAGGCATAGTTAGAGGGAGGAGGGGAGAGATATCTTCTACCTGCTGGTACACTCCCCAAATGGCTGCGATGGCCAGGACTGGGCCAGGCTGAAGATGCGAGCCTGGAATTCCTTCTGGGTCTCCCACGTGGGTGGCAGGGACCCAAGAACTTGCACCTGTCATCCACTGCTTTCCCAGGTGCATTAACTTGGAGCAACAGGGATTCCCACCAGTGCCCAGATGTGTCACAGGCGGCAGCCTAACCTGCTGTGCCCCCATGCTGGCCGCTAGATTTACCTTTCCAATAAAAACTCTTATTAAAATAGAAGTCCATGTCTATGATAAAATGTTCCCACTGGGAAAGTAAGCCTCCTTGCCTTCTTGGCTTCATTCCTCAGAGTTAGAGCCTAATCCCCAGTTCTGTGGATCTCCTGCTATGCAAGTCTGAGACAGGGTCTTGTGGCGTCCAGGGACTCCCCTCTATGTTTCCGTGGCTGGTTGATGGGTGTGCATGCACTGCGACTTTTGCCACCTGTGCAGTTTCCATGGGAGGTCACGGGAGAAATGAGCTCCTCCCGAGCCCCAGAAGGGCAGGACAAAGGGGAGGACCTGGGGGGTTGCGAGAGAACCAGGGCAGCTCTGCTTTCAGTCCCACCTCATGTGGGGCCAGCTGTGTCCCAGAAGAACTACTCTGTGTCCTGTGTTCCTCAGAATGACAGCCCTTGCCTGCTTTTCTCTGTGGTGGTGCCGTCTAAGTTTGGAGAGGCCTCATTGAAGGTGCAGAGGAGAAGTAACTTCCGCTTGGTTCCTCTGCTTTCCGGACAGGGGTTCTGTACAGATCACGAGGGCAGAGGTGGCACTGTGGTTCCTGCCCATGTCCTACAGGGTGGGGGGTGACTGACCAGGAGGGAGGATCCCAAGAAGAAAAGGGAAGAAGCTGATTGTCAGGGAATTTGCAGCTGTTGTCAGAACGCGGTTTCACTTGTCACTGAGGCATGAGAAGTTTGCGAACTGAAACAGTGAGATGGTGAGTGAGCGGCCGCTTCTGGGACTGAGTCCCACTGAGCAAATATCAGGCCGGAAGGCCCTGGGGAATGCTCTGCTCTGGAAAAAGCGGTGGCATCCCTTGGAGAGTGACCGCTAGGGCAGCACCTATGGTGGGTCTATTTGGGAAGAGCCAGCTGATTGTGCAGGGTGGCCAGCCCCAGTGGACCAAAGCTCTCTGCAGCTCCCAGCCTGGTCCAGCCCAGATCTGGCCTCCTGCAGTCTCAGTGCTGACAGCTGCCCACCGCAGTACTTGTTCTGGCTTCAACTTTTTCTTGTGGGGACGAGGGGGATGACTTAGCTCCCTCTAGACCAGGGGAGGGGGCACATCTTCCCTGCTGTGTTTCTGATGAAAATCTATATGGTGGCCACCTGGTCTATGCCCCTGCAGAGTTACCGTCCCCCAACCAAAGTGGAAACTCCCAGGCATCACAGGGGGAAGTGGCCTCCCCTGGGGTAGCAGCAGTGTTTTGGGACCCCCTGTGCACTCCTGGGCCCTGGTGTGCAGGCCTGGAAGGGAGTGCCCTGAGCTGCTCCGAAGCTGGCTTGGTGATGAGAACTCGCCTGGCCGTTCCTGAAGGAGCCCCACAGGCCCCGCTGCGCACGGTGTGGAGGGCCGTGGGGCTGAGTTTCAGGGCTGCCTTTCTTCTCCCTCTGTGGCCTGGGCCTTCGACAATTGTGGCTACTGGTTCTGCTTCACAATCAGGAAACGCCGCCTTGTCAGTGAGGAGCAACCAGTCAGTTTCTTCTCGGGTGTCAATTTGAGCCCTCGCTGGTTTCTTCAAAGATTTCAGTTCTCTGAGTTCAGTGTCACAGGCAGAAACCCAGTGTGCAAAGCCTTGCCTGGTTCCTTCCACTCCGTTCCCTGAAAATTAAGGTACTAAGAACCCACTTGAAGGCCAGACCAGGGGATTCTGCCGTCCAGGCTGTGATGTATTTCACCTCCCTGCCCTGCCCTTTTGGCCCCTTCTTTGCGGTAAAGCGAGCGCCTTAGTCCCTGTGAACCAAGTCTCCTGAGGGCTCTCCCTAGCAGGCTGAGTCCGCGATGGCAGGAAAGGCCTCCCAGGTCTTCACAGGGGAAGGATTGCCACGCTTTGGACTCGTTGAGCACTCTGTCGTTCTGAGACCAAAGTCTACTGATCCATCCAGACCGACTGAAAACGTTACAGAAGAACTCAGGTCAAGGTAAGCGTGTCTGTGAATCCCTGGTGTTTCTTCAGGCTGTTGGACCACTGTTCCATGTATGTCCCTGAGTGTGTGTGTGTGGGCTCGTGTGGCAAAGAGCGGTGTCCTTGGCCTACAGGCCTTCTGTGATGTAGCTCCAAGGAGTGATGCCCTCTTGGTGGAAGTGTGGCCCTACAGAGCTGAGTACCCAGGAAGCCTGGGCTGGCCATCTGCTGCTGCTGTTCTTCCAGGCCTGTGGCTGCTCCTGCCCGGCTGGGTCTGTGTTTGAGCTGCGGCATTGGGCTCCCCAAGTGCTCTGCGGGATGGTGACCCTAGATCAGCCAGGGACCCTGGAAGCCATGTTTCTAAAGTGCTGCTTTCCTGTGGGTGAGATGGGGGTGGCTGAGAGGTGGTGATGGGAGGGAAGGCATGACCTGTCTTGCTCTTTGGCTCGGCAAGTGATCACCATGAGTGGAATGGCCTGCTATTCCGAAAGGTTTCTTTAGGGACTTGGTGCCCGGATGATTGCTGCTGACTGCCGCAGGCTAGGAAGCTGCCACAGACTCATCTCCTGCATGCAGCTTGTGCACGGTGGGCCCAGGAGAGCCACTGCAGGTAGCGGGAGTGTAGTCCAGGACAGGTCAGTTGCCAGCAGGACAGCTGGGTCCAGGGCTTTTTCC